CCCCAAAACCCCAAAACCCCAAAACCCCATTATGCCATTTATAAATTTTTTTGATGAGAGTAGTAGTAGATAAAAGATTTATCCATCTAATATATAGCTTAATAATTAAATACAATATTTGTGCAAAGATAGTACATGATGCTTGTTTACTCACGAGAGCAACTGGAATTCCTTATTCCTCCAACTATTGATTTTCTTTCATTCTTGAATATTCATTTTAACTTCTACGTAATCACTTTTAGAAAAATCTCCAGTTGGTTCGAGTGAGTTATAAGAAAACACCTGTCTAAGTTCTTTGCTTGAATCTATTTAGTTTGATTAATCGTTATTAGTTAAGAAATTTAGGCATTATTTGTATTAGCCAATGAAATTGATTAATTTATTTTTAAAGTTGCTCATGTCCTCTTTAAGTTTTGGTGACACTTGCTCCAATTGGTAATTTTTCTATTTCAAATCCTTTTATTATATTTTTGATTTGAGTAGTTAATTGATTATATTTTCTGGACTGTTATCTTGGCTTCGGTACGCTCTTGGATTCAGAATTGATTAAGGTGGCTTGACTATTATTTTTTTCTTATTTGAATTCTTACTTGCGCTGATAGGAGAAAATACTTGGCTCGTCGGCATCTGAGTTTAATTTTGTGCATTTCCTGATTTTTCAGCTTTCCGATTGGATTCATCACATTAATTGAAATCACTATTTCTCATCTAATTACCTTTCTTTAATCCCTCAATCAGCTTTTTATTACTTAACTTGAATATTGAGCACTGTAATGTTTAAATCAGTCTATCTTTATCATCTATTTATGTTCAATATTGCTGATGAATCATTATTTATTCTTCAAGGTTTCTAACTTTTTACTTTAATTATTAATTTTCTAAAATGACCTAGTGAAATAATTTTTGCTAATAACCTTAAATCTCACCCTGTAATCTCATGTTTGCCTGAGCAATAAGAGTAGTATTATTATTTGTTTTATGGGCGAAATGTGCTTTCTTTAGTGAAAGTAAATTTTTATTAGTTGGTTTTAGAATAACCCGATCATAGTCAGTACTTTAATTATGATAGAGGGAGCCATTACTATTATTTATTTAATCAGACAGCACATCATTAATAAGCTTCTCACAGGCATCGGGAAGGCTTGACTACTAAATAGTAGTTTGGTTAATTATTTGACGAGCTAATATATCTTTTGAGGAAACTGTACTTTTTCAAGATAGCTTTCCACTACTTGTATTTTAGATGTGCGCAGATTCTTGTTTTACATGAGATTTGTGGATTGATGAAGATGTTCCATTATTTTATACTTAATTGGATTTTAAATTTTGGGAATTAAAAAGGCCAACTTTATATTTTAATACTTTCTATTTGCGTGAGGAATTGCCACCTCCGTTTGAACCACTCCCACTTTGAATTTTAAACAATTATTTCTTGCAACTTGGGGATTCTGAGGTATATTTCTTCAATAGTTATGTAGATGGGTTAAGCCCTTTACTTATAAGAAATTTCTATAATTTATCTTTTTCTAGGGTTTCTGGTGAATGACTCTAGAATTATTTAACATTGAGTTTTCTCAATGGATTATTATTGGCCCCTTATGACATTCTATGAATTGGATGTCTCTCTAGTTCAATCTATTTTCCTGAGTTTATAGTACTCATGAAGCTATTACGCTTCTTAAAATCGGACTAGCTATTAAAACTTAAGGGAAGGGTCAGATTAAAGTTTAAATCTTTTGGAGAAAGCTTACTCATTGAAATTTACTCTTAGTCAACATCTTCGATTTTCATATACTGATTTCCATCCTAATTTCCACTTAATTTTGATAATCTCTAAGTAATAGAAAATTTGCTCTTTCCAACTTCACCAGGAATTTTCTATTTCATATCTTTTTTATCATAATTGAGAAAAGAAGGCTTTTTTTGATTAGTTGCATAAGGGGCATTTGCATTGTCTATATTTCTCTACGTTTATGTATTTTGTAGTAATCCACTACTGATACTATTAAGACCTGAGTTACCTTGCCCAGATAATAGGTTTTTTAGAATCGCTTTTGGACTGTTCATCTCTATATTATAATGCTGACTAGACTGACTGTTATTTGTAGGAAATGTTGGAGGTAATTGCAAGTTTTTCTTCTTTTTATTCGGATTCTATGTTTAGTTCGCAGTCATCTATGATCCATTACTTATCATGCTTTTTTTCTGGGAATGATTAGTTTACTATGACAATGAAGGTTGAAGTTAGGAATTTTTAGATGATTTATCACTTTGCAATCATTAGGAGATCTCCTTCTTGAGTTCTTTGAGCTCAGAAGATTTATTAGATTTCTAATTTCCAAAACCCTTGCAGTTAGACATTAAAATTTAATTAATAAAATTCACTCATATCATATTTGATTCATATATAATTATTATTACTTTAAACTTACCTTAAATCTGATCACCACGGGGTTTTGGGGTTTTGGGGTTTTGGGGTTTTGGGGATTAG